AAATTTGGAGTCTGTGAGAAAAGAAGCGAAAAAGACCACGAAAGGGTGCGTATTAAGAACCATACAACAGCAGCGGCCGAGGCGGCCCTGGGGACGAGGGCCCAAACAAGTTGTCCCCGGACGAGGAAGGCGGCTACGAGGATGATGAAGTGGTGTCGTATTGGGTCAATACGCGGATCGACAGATTACATCGGATAGAACTCCATGGAGATCATGGAGAACATGGTATTTAAGATCAGAGAGAAAAAAGAAGTCATCTAGCTACTAGCTATGGACGTGTAGGTTTGTGGTAAACTACTCCACATCATTGGAGGTGCAGCAAGGTTGATGTAGAAGCCCTCCATCATCGACTCCTCCTCCGACAGCGTACCGGAAAAGGCCTCCAGATGGGATCGTGGAAGAACAAAGACTTGCGACAACAGAAAAAGTGTTTCGGGTGGCTCTCTGTTTGGGTTAGTCCTCGGAAATGATATAAAATTGCATATAAAGTATCTAAGATTGGTAATATAATAACATGAAACAATCAAAAATTATAGATATGTTGGAGACGTATCAGTCAACACAACAATGGCTTTTGATTTCAAGCGGTGATTATGGCCATGTGATGGCACCCTAGGGTAATAGTATCGTGACTCATTAATTGCGTCAAGTCCTTTGTTCGACTCTAGGAAGTCAATTTTTTTATGCTAATGATTAGTTTTTCATTCGTTTTTCTCTCGCTGTCCTACACAGGGAGACGTATAGTCACATCAACGTCCGCGCCACTCTTCTTCCACACTAAGCCATCTCCGCTCCCCATTCCAATCGCCAACCCCCCTCTTGTTGCCAACTCCCATGCGGGACTGCCGCCCCCTTCACCGCCTCTCATCTCCGGAGAAGATCGCCTTCGCCTACTTTCGCAGCTGACGTCGTCAACCACCTCGACGACATCGAGAAACCCTAGGCAAGCCGACTCGCCGATAGAAAATGCAGGTAAATCCTTCTTCAATATCTTTGATTTCGGTTAAATCAAATGTGAATGTTGTATGTGTACTGAATTGATTGTTTGGATTCACAGTGCCCAAAGTGTTTGGACACCAGGGGTTTGTGCGGAAATGGCCACATAATGTATGCCAAGACCTTCCGCATAAGACTTCCAGTTGGCTTTGAAGACACGACGTTATGTTTTTTACGTTGGTTGTTCTTTCATTCATGGTGTGCCTGAATTGATTTACTTCATGAAACTATAATAGTGTTCTATGATTTAGGCCTTTGTTAAGGTCATGGCCATGGTTGCCCTGCATGCAACTGGCTAACACTCAAATTGATATGTGAACATGCATGCAGGTTGTTTACATGATTGCTTCATAATTACAAAGGAGCATGATTGCTTCATAATTACAAAGGAGTACTGATCCGATTTTAGATCATTCACATTGTTTTATGAAAAAAACCTAACAATAGTTATCCATGCATAAACTAGGAAAGATGCTAAAAATAAAACAGTACAGTTTTCTAAAATTTATGCCACATAGTGCATAGTTTTGTTAATGTTTGAATAGGCATAATGACCTCTTGGACATTAATCTAGTTGTTTTGTTCAAGTATTTTAAAAAGAGCAAGCCATTGTTAAATTTGTGAACATGCTGACATAAAGCCACTTTGAATTAATGGACAATTGGTATATGTACTTATTTATGACTTGCAAGCGTAACTATTCTAATCCTTCCATTTGTCCACAGTTCATCCCACGCTTTGCAAGAAAACAAGTCCTGATGGAGCTGGGTGTTTATTCATTTCAACACTCCTCTGCTAAGACTCAGCTGAAAACAAAGCATGATTTTCTTTTCTATTGTTGTCTCCAAAACTTTGAAGGGAAAACATTTTTTACTGGACCAACTTGGAGAGAATTTGCCAAAGTATACATATTTCAAGTTGATATGTTGTAGTTTGTTATTAGCACACATGAACATCAAATTGATGTGGAACTGGATAATGTTCCAATTGTTCATCCTTGTAAGTGTTCTTAGACATACATACCTTGCTTACGTGGACTTGTGTTTACTTGCCTGTTCTTAATAGTCCTAACTGTAAATATCTGACAATGTTGTCATTATTGTATATGTATACCTACTCAGCTTACTATGTGATATTGGAAGAAACAAAAGAGATAGTTGACAAAATGGAACTCACTCCTGGAACCACATGTACGTGGAAAGACATGCCATACATCGTCATTTTTGCCGACGACATTGAAACGTTTGTATGGTGGTATGCACATGAACCAAGTTCTGGACTGTACAAAGTACTGATGCAAACTCTGACCGAGACCAACATTAAGAAGAAACTGCTGGTAATAATTTTATTTATTTCATCATTTATAGTACAACATTTGTTATTTAAAATATGTCATCATACCATGTAACAATCGTGTTATTGCAACAGAGACTCCCTAGTCATGTTCTTTCTGATCAGATGAATCCACATGGTGAAATGAGAATTATTATGTTTCCTAATGCTACATATGGTCGTTATACCCGATGTTAGAAAAAGATGGACACCTCATCGTAATGGATGGCTGGAAGGATTTGCTTTCCTTGTCTAAATTGGCCGTTGGAGACAGGCTACTCTTCGTGATCCACCACATAGGTGATGAGGATATCCTCTTTGTACCTATACCTGGCAATCTGTGTAATCTGCCGAAGAGTAGTTCTATGTTGTTGCTGCACTTCATGTTGATGCTCGAACACTCCTACTCGTGATGCGCGATACTTTTGGAAATGTCGGTGCTGATGTACCCAATGTTTGTTCCATGTCTGAACCTGTAATGCTATATTATTATCTGTGATTATATTTTCCTGTTCATGTTTTATTTAAGAATTAGTATGGCATCTCATAGTTCAGTAAAATGATAGCATAAACGGAAATAATGTAATAGATTTCATTACGAGCATCTCAACTAATATCCATTAGATAAACCCAAAACTTTGTTTTCAAGCCCACTGCACCATTTTTTTTCTTTCCCAACATGCCAAACATCTCAAGTAATACCCTAAAAAATTATTATAATATGTTATAAATTCTACCATGGCAGAAATTATAAGGTACTACATTTTGAACACCAACTCGCCATTTTTTAAATCATTTTTCTAACCAGCCTATCATTTTCTGTGACACCAAACATCTTATGTGACATTACAAACCGTCGGAGAAAATGGAAATGTGTAGTGACGCCCAAATGCATGGCCGAAAATCAGGCTAGAATGTCGCCAAAGTTGGCTAGGGCGCTGCCCTAGGAGGAAAAACCTCGTGATGGTGGACCGTCACAGAAAATGGTTTTAGGCGACAGTTCCTTTTTTGTCTCTAGGGTTTTTGTCACTAAATAGAGCAAATTTTGTAGTGTGGGCATGTTTATCCCTTAATGTAACCAACCTACATGTAACCCTAGGTACCCTCGGTGACTATATAAGCCGAGGGATTTAGATCGTAGGAGAGGGACATTCAGATACAATCTCGAGGTAGATCACCCTGTACTTTGTACCTCATCACAATCAATACAATAAAAGTAGGACATTGGGTTTTACCTCTTCGAGAGGGCCCGAACCTGGGTAAACATCGTGTCCTTTTTATCCTATTACCATTCATGCAAGATCACCATCTCAAGACTCCCTATCCAAGATCCACCAGATTCAACCCCGATACCAGGAGATGACCTCTTTGTTGGTTCCGTCCTGGGCCAATTTGGGAGGCCTATGGTGAATACCAAGAAGACTCCAGAAGGCTTGTTCAAGACAAGGACTTCGTATGCATGGAGGACTCCTCTCAACTGATGTAGCCGACTAGGACTCTAGTAACCCTAGAACCCCGGTATCTTATATAAACCGGGATGGGCTAGTAGATAGATCTTACAAGTTAGACACATCATACAATCTCGTACTAGTCTTACACATGGTATGCACATAGTCCAACACAATTAAGCACAAGCAAAACACATGGTTTTATCTCCTCAGAGAGGTTGAACCTAGGTAAAATTATGTGTCCTTGTTGCCATCATTCCAAGAGACATAGCTTAAGATCCCCTACCTCGAGATCTATCGATTTGGGTTTCGTCATCAACCCCATTTGTGTTTGAGTGGTGTATTCCATGTTCTACCATCATATTTAGTGGGTACATGTGCATGATTACGTCTTTATAAATTCCAGCAACCCCGGAATACTAAATACATCTAGATACATCCATTTCTCTGACAAGTATTTTGGACGGAGGGAGTATAATAAAATGTTGACCATTATTTTCTGTGACATTATTACTAACATACACTTTTAACTGACATGATTGTGTTAGATCTAAAAATAATAGCCAAAAGAATTTATAAAAACTTAGTGTATCATTTTGAAGTTCAAACTTTAATGGTTACAAATACAAATTGTATACAGTCCATTTTTCCATGGGAATGAAGTTATTCTTTTCTTAAAGAATAGCCACACTCAATATCGGCCAAGAAGCTGAAGAACACTCCTTGTTTGTGCCACTTAGATGTACTCCATAATGTTTGAAACGAGACGACTTGAAACTTAAATACATAGGCGTCACATAAATTTTGAATGAATGGGGCATAAAATCGTTGAACTATGCTATGCTTCATTGCTTTATAGCAATGGTAGTGAAGCCCGGCCGCGAGGTCTTATAGAGAAGAGAAAAAACTTACTATCAACTTTGAACTTGTTTTTAGTTTTTATTTTGAGACAATTGAACTTGTTTTTAGTTTTTATTTTGAGACAATTGAACTTGTATTTAGTGTCGCTATCAACTTTGAACTGTATTCTTATAAACCAAATGGAGGGAAGCAACCTGGCCCGGCCCGGCCCAGCCCAGCCCAAATGCAGGATAAGGGGTAGGAGGAGGGAGAGGGAAGAGGGAAAATATAAAAACAAAATCCCGCAAAATCCTCGGTCTCTTTCCTTCTCCCCCCCCAAACCCAGAAAATCCCTTATCCCCTCCCCCTGCTCCTCGACCGTCCATGGCGATGGCCTCCTCCACCACCGCCTCCGTCGCCGCGGCGTCCCTCCGCGCGCTCGCCGGCGCCTCCCCGGCCCCGCCCCCGAAGCCGTTCCTCGTGCTGCTCTCCCCGGCGCCCCCGCGCCGCCTCGGCCTCGGCCTCCGCGCCGCCCGCACGCGCGGCCCGCTCGCCCCGCTCGCCTCCTCCGACTCCTTTTTCGAAACCTCCGCGGCCGTCGACGTAGCCGAGCCGGAGGACGAGGCTCTGGAGGCCGCCGCGGAGGAGGAGCCGGCCGTGGTGGAGGAGGATGAGGAGGATGTGGCAGCGGAGGAGGAGGTGGTCGGGGAGTACGTGGAGCCGCCGGAGGAGGCCAAGGTGTACGTCGGCAACCTGCCCTACGACGTTGACAGCGAGCGCCTCGCGCAGCTCTTCGAGCAGGCCGGCGTCGTCGAGGTCTCCGAGGTGAGCGCTTCTTTCCCCTTCATGCACACACCTTGGCCTCTTTGCTAGGTGCCTGTCTGTGTGCACACACACGTTGGCTCAGTCAAGAGAATGCATCAATTCTTCCGGGCCCTGATTATGTGCTTTGTTTATGCGCAACTGAAATTGTCACGTTCAGTCCTGGACGGAAATGATGCCTAACTGAATGTTGAGGCTCATATGGTGGAGCTGCTAAAATCTAGTTTGCCTCTTTGCAACCTGCTTGTGTGATAGGCTTGGATGCAGTAGGTTGGCCAGCGATGTTATTTGATGGGGTGCATCGTGTTATAGTTGTGTGTGGAGGCCAGTCATTTCACGTCTTTATCAGAATTATGTCCATTAACCTGCTAGCGCATGCACACAATGTTTTCAGAAACTGTGAAATACAGAGATATTAATCATGTGGTTTCTAATATGAAGTTTCGGTCCAATTAAGATGCATTTCCTTCCACGTAACAATGTATTATTTGCTGACCCTGTTACTGTTAATTCACGACTAGCGTGGTGTCGGCTTCATCAGTAATTCAGTATGGTTGGAGGGGCAGTCAGACAATGGTTGCTTGGATACTGTATGCCTTTTCTCCCTGTTGTAATATGTAGTTTCTATTTTGTGGATGTACAGGTCATTTACAACAGGGAAACAGACCAGAGCCGTGGATTTGGGTTTGTCACCATGAGTACCATTGAAGAGGCTGAGAAGGCCGTGGAGATGTTCCATCGCTATGTGAGTGCATACTCTGTATTTACGTAATGGAACCTGCATAGAATGGCTGCTTCCAGTTTGCATTTTCTATGTTTCCTGTCATAGGGCATTAATTCCAATTTCAAAAGCATTTATAATTCATATGCTATGTAAGCATGCTCTAAAGAATGCACCAAAATGTATGGTTTGCTGACTGACCTTTAACGTGGACAGGACGTGAATGGGAGGCTGTTGACTGTAAACAAGGCAGCTCCTAGAGGCGCCCGGGTGGAAAGGCCTCCCCGTGATTCCGGGTCTTCATTCAGGATCTACGTGGGCAACCTGCCATGGCAAGTGGACGACTCTAGGTTGGTAGAGCTGTTCAGCGAGCACGGCAAAGTTGTCGATGCCAGGGTTGTCTACGACAGAGACACTGGGCGCTCACGGGGATTTGGTTTCGTGACAATGGCATCGCAGCCGGAACTTGATGATGCCATCGCTGCCCTCGATGGACAGGTTAGTTAGCAATCATCTGATTGCCCTACCATTTTTACATACCGTGATAACTGCATGAATCGAACCTCGTTCTAGCGGGATAACGAATGCCGTGTCGAGTCTCACATTACTATCTGAATTCTGCAGAGCTTGGAGGGGCGTGCTCTGCGGGTGAACGTCGCGGAGGAGCGGCCACCGCGGAGGTTCTAATGAAGGTGTATTTGATGGTGGACTACGACAAGATTGCTGCGTAAGAGACACGATAGCACGCCCAGTACCGGCTTAGACCCCCCATCCATCCTTGTGCCATGTCTGCCTCCTCTCTCTCTCCAGTGTTTTTCTCTTTTGCTATCTGCCTGTTGCTTCCACGTTCTCAATCTGTCGATGCAATTCAAAAGTTTTGTCTGACATACTACATATGTTTAAGCCCCCCATATGGGGTGCGTCGCCCTGAGATTCGTGCTCGCCTGATGTGCGAAAAGGATCCAAAATCCCCTTATGTTATATGGATCTGAAATCTCCTTGTGACCCTGGTTGAATACCTATGTCTACATGGTTGCATGCTTCGCATCAAGCAGTGCAATACCGATTCGCAGTCCTGATGCTAAAGGGACCCTAGCGTGCATATATGTGTGGGGGTTGGGTGTTGCATCTGCAACTCAGATCTCGAGAAGTTTTTGCTCCATTGCCGCGAGTACATCGGGGCCAGCCTCCGTGCCAACTGCTGGCCATGGCGTGCCGGCCGATGTCCCTGGCGAAGTAGCGAACCACCCCAAGCCATGGCGCGTCGCGCATTGCCACTGGGTTACCAGAGCTGACGGCCAGTTCGCCTGGTTTTTATTTGCCGGCCGCCCTGAGCCTAGGCTTGTCGACTCTCACCCGCACCGCCATTGTTGCCTGTGTTATCGGCCAAGATTGTTGGGTCGATGCAAAAATGCCGAATTTTTACGACTTAAGGGCTTACTTGATTTTTTTGTGGAACACAAGGCACCATCAAGCGCCAAGACATCATTCATCTCATACGCAAAGTACAACGTGAATCACAACACCCTCCATTTGGAAGTTGTGAAGATTAAGCAGGGAAAGGCAAGAGCCAATGCCATGAGCTGAATGAGTACAACCTAAGACACGTTCTAATCTAGAATTGAGAACCTGATGAGCATCATTGTGGGCAATGCCGTTGATGTTTCTGGGAATATGATAAACAACGTGGTGTTGATGGTGAGTCTCCTGAATGAATCTGCTAATTTGTAGTTCTACATCTCCAAGGCCTACTTGATGCGGTTCTCTTGTTGGCATCGACTCCGACTCATCAAGCTTTGGCTGTTTATTTTCTATTAACGCTCATCGTCTGTAGAAGGTTGACACAGTATTAGAGATTGACAAGGTCTTTCATGTGCATCAATGGCCATGTTAAAAAAACATATATGTAAATCAAATATTGCAGTGACTATATAGATAGAAATAGGAGTCCAAACAACTATTGCATCAACCTGTTACAAGAAATAGCAGCAAACAAAGCAACTAAAGAATGAATCAGTGGCATTGGTATTATCCTTTAGGAAGAAATATGATGAAAAAAATAAAAATAAATTAACAAAAGTTTGCGCATAATTTACACATAAATTACGTTTTTTATAATATGCAAGTATATAATAGTGAAATTTCGCAAAAATAAGTTTCTTAAGAAAGAACGAATCAGTGGCGTTGGTATTACCCTCAAGATGGAAGAAAATAAATAAAAATAAAGCAAAATCAAAATCATGTAGTTTCTTTTAGTGGGAGGAGGTGTTCCCGTCGATGACGAGGCGCCTACGGTGACTTCGTAAATCTTAAGATGATATGTCGGCTCAGTCTCTCGGAGTTGCTCATAGGGATAAGGTGTGCGTGTGTGTATTCATAGGGGTGAGTGTATGCGCGCATGCATGAGCGCTTGCGTTTGTACTGTATTAAAAAAATATTATTTTTTAACAAAGCTCGCACCGAGAAAAATCAAACTTTCCTTTTTCTTTTTGAGGGGCCGAGAAAAATCAACTGATCCAGGCGACTAGTCGCTAGTGGGGCCCATAAATACGTACGCCTGCTAGCCTTGGAGCCTCTCAACACAACTGATCGGTATTGAGCTGAAGGCATACAGGTACGGTTGTTGGTGGAGGAAATGGAGAAGCTCCCCAAGCGTCCGGCTAACTACGTGCCGCTTAGCCCGGTTGGGTTCCTGCCGCGTGCCGGTGCAGTGTACGGTGACCGCACGTCCGTCGTCTACGGGCGTCTCCGTTTCACGTGGAGCCAGACGTACGAGCGCTGCCGCCGACTTGCCGCCGCCCTCCTCTCCCTCGGCGTCCGCAAGAACGACGTCGTCTCCGTCCTCGCCCCCAACGTGCCAGCGATGTATGAGATGCACTTCGCCGTGCCCATGGCTGCTGCCGTGCTCAACACCATCAACACGCGCTTGGACGCCAAGGCGGTGGCGGCCATCCTGAGGCACTCCCAGGCCAAGGTCTTGTTCGTCGACTATGAGTACGTGCGCCTCGCCAACGGCGCGCTCCAGATCGTCGCCGATGCCGGCGCGCCCGTCCCGCTGGTCGCCGTCATCGACGATATTGACAGGCCCACTGGCGTCCGGCTCGGCGTCGGTGAGCTCGAGTATGAGGCGCTGGTCAGCGACGGCGACCCGGCCGCGGAGCTGCCCTCGCTGGCGGACGAGTGGGACGCGGTCACACTCAACTACACCTCCGGCACCACGTCGGCGCCTAAGGGCGTGGTGTATAGCCACCGTGGTGCGTACCTCAACACCACGAGCCAGCTGCTGTCGTGGGGGGTGGGCACCGAGCCGGTGTACCTCTGGACGCTCCCCATGTTCCACTGCAACGGGTGGACGCTCACCTGGGGAATGGCAGCGCGCGGCGGCGTCAACGTCTGCATCCGCGAGAACCGCGCCGCCGACGTCTACCGTGCCATCTCCGACCACGGCGTCACCCACATGTGCTGCGCGCCGGTGGTGCTCAACATTCTCCTAGACGGCATCGGGGAGGCCCGTCGGCTGGCAGCTCCCGTCCACGTCCTCACTGGCGGGGCCCCGCCGACGGCCGCCCTGCTGGACCGCGTCGAGCGGGTCGGTTTCAAGGTGACGCACGGGTACGGGCTCACGGAGGCCACCGGCCCCGCTCTGGCCTGCGAGTGGCGCCACGAGTGGGACCTCCTGCCGCTCCCGGAGCGCTCACGCCTCAAGGCCAGGCAGGGGGTCAGTGTCCTGTCTCTCGCCGACATCAACGTCGTCGACAACAACACCATAGCTAGTGTGCCGCGCGACGGCAAGTCCGTGGGTGAGATCGTGCTCCGCGGCAGCAGCATCATGAAGGGGTACCTCGACAACCCGGAGGCGAACGACAAGGCCTTTAAGGGTGGGTGGTTCATGACGGGTGACGTCGGCGTCGTGCACCCGGATGGGTACATCGAGGTAAAGGACAGGTCAAAGGACGTGATCATCAGCGGCGGCGAGAACATCTGCAGCAAGGAGGTGGAGGAGGTGCTGCTCCAGCACCAGGCTGTGGCCGACGCGGCGGTGGTTGCCATGGCTCACCCGCACTGGGGCGAGACACCCTGCGCGTTTCTCGTGGCCAGCAACCGGGCTGCCGGGGTCTGCGAAGACGAAGTGATCGCCTTCTGCCGTGAGCGCATGGCGCGTTTCATGTCACCCAGGAAGGTGGTGGTCGTCGACGCCCTTCCGAGGAACGCGCTGGGAAAGGTTGATAAGGTGAAGCTACGCGATGCGGTCCGGAGTCTTGTGCTCCCCAAGGCCACGTCTAGGCTATAGGTTCGGCGCCCATCATAAATGGTGATAAGGGCAATATGGTCTACAAATTCTTAAAAATACAGCAGTGTCAATGTTGTACCAGTAAGTATGCGTGGTTTGAACTATGTATGGATGTTGTTTTGATTGTTTTTTTTTTGGAAATGGAGGTGTATCTCCGGCCTCTGGATCATAATGATGCATGCAGCCATCTTATTAAAAATCCATGAAGTAGCACAAAGTCATAAAAGTATTATAGCTCGCAAGCGGAGTGAAACAAAAATAAAAAAGAAAAGTACATGCTGACAATCACAACCGGTACGGCAATATGAAGGATAAGCTTCCTAGACTCGTATCCTGTTATGCGACCGCCATCCGAACCGGTTGAATATTAGTTTTTTTTTGAGACAACTCACGAAGCTTCTTATTGATTCGTCACAATGTTTACAGGGACGAAGAAAAGATCTCCGGGATGGCCTAACCACACACGGCGTCCGCCCCCGAGAGATAGAGCATGCTTCGCTAAGTTGTGAGCTTCATAATTTGAGCTCCTAAATTCATGGCTAACTTTACACATATCGAAAGCTAAAGAGTGGCTTAATATTTCATGCACAATAGCACCATATGGAGATGCATCCTCCTTCTTCAGTGAGTCCACGACCTGCTTGCAATCAGATGCAACATGAATGCGCATTTGGTACAGGTCCTCCGCAAGTGCAAGTCCTTCTCTGATCGCCATGGCTTCTAGTGTCTCCGGGTCCCCGATGTGCCTCATAATCAGCGCTGAAGCTCCCAAAAACAGGCCATCTGAGTTTCTGCAGATTGCACCAACAGCCCCAAAATGAGCCTGCCTGGGTGCGGCCGCGTCCACACTTATTTTCACACATCCCGTGGCCAGAGCCTGCCACTGAGTTGGCCTTGTGGCTTTCACAACGGTCCTTCGAGGTTCACGTGCATTGATATATCTCAGGTCATCAAGAAAACTTGTGATAAATTCATAAATAGAGTGCGGTGATTGGAAGATGTCCTCATAGATCGCTTTCCTCCGAGCTCGCCAAATCGCCCACATGATAACAATCATATGTGCAAACATATCTCCGTTCAGAACTCCATTCATAGCAAAAAGCCAATCCTTGGGATGTTCTTCCATTCTATCCACAAGATGATGAACCAAATCCTCCGGAGCTAGGGCCCAAACACTGCTTGACATCGGGCACATAAAGAGCGCATGTCTCCATGAATCAACCGCCCCGCACAAAGGGCAATTGTCCTCGGTAGCCATATTGCGATGCTTCAGTACGTCAATAGTGGGCATGGAGTTTCTCGCCAACCTCCAAACGAACATGCGGAGTTTCGATGGAACCTGCATGTGCCAAATAGTACTCCACTTGTCCGTCTCCTGCTGCTCAATAGATGTTCC